TTTAAATATTTATGATTTATATAATTAACTAATTCTAAATTTTTAACATGTTTCTAATACGAACTGTAAATATTAACTTAACGTATTTGTTGCTATTAAGTATTTTTCTTGGAGTAAAGCCAAGCATAATATTTTTCTTTTTTGTGAAGTTCACGAAAGTCTGTGTTTCCTGTTAGAATCGTGTACTAGTAAATGTAGCCTGGACGAATTTGATTAAAACGTTAAGGCGTGTGTTCTTGAAGTAACCTTAGATAATTAAAAATGTGTGATTATGAAGTGAAGTGAGCAGACGTACGAGTAATACATTTTCAAAAAGAGAAGGTTGTTAAGAAAGAGATTGTAAATTTTAATTTGTGGGAGGATAGGTTACTAGTTTATATTTCGTAAACCACCCTTACTTGAGCATGTAGACTGTCTAGGCGAAGACAAATGAATTTAAAAAGAATGGTTCAAAAATATAAAATGACGAGTTGGACTGTATAAATTTAGGTTTATGGCAACGTAAGTTGTTTAAGAAGCAATAAAATTGGAAATCACAAAGGAATCGTAAACTGTCTTTCCAATTATATTGCAATATACGTTCTATCCGAAACCTCCTATACACAGCAGGTCCTTGGACCAATTAGACTTAATTTTTATTATAAATTCCGCAGTATGATTCTGATTTATTATTAGCATTGAGACGAGATTTACAAATGTCGTACTGTTTGCTTCCCTTTTTTCGTTTATTCAGAAGTGAATCATGCTTTACTTCGTAAGATTTTAGGTTTTCACGGCGGTGACTATGAAGAAAGCAGCCTTCTGGAATGTGGCGCCGTGTAGATATTGTGTTAATCGACGTTTAGGAGGAACGTATCGCCTCCATCTTCAGGGTGGAAGAAAAATGTCTGTTAGTACCTGCTCGCGCTGGTTCATCGCTCGCGGATTTTCTTTATTTTTCTTCCACCCAGAAGATGGAGGCGATACGTTCCTCCTAAACACAATATCTACACGGCGCCACATTCAAGAAAACTGCTTTCTTCATGTTTTACTTCATAC